TCGCTCCCGAAGTTCTTCTCTTGTTAACCTTTTCGGTGCAGGGACTCGGTTGATAGTAGGGGGGGCTGAGGGCTTTGGTATTGTAGGTCATGGAGTGATCCTAGTCCTCCGGGCTTCATGGTTCAATCGCTCCTCTTGAAGTCGTGCGAAAGAGATGGCTGCCATAAGCGTGTATGGTTGTCGCGCCTTAACTTCTCCCCGGATCTCCGACTTTAAGCCCTCAATAAAGGTCCCCAATAGTTGTTTTTCAGACCAATCACGAGTTTGATTAGATAATCTTTCAAACCTGGTTTGGTACTCCTGAATGGTGGAGGTTTGTCGGATCTTTGCTAGTTGTCCGTCAATGTTCTCGTAATAAGTTGGTCCGAAGCGGATCAGTAGTCCTTCTTTGAATTGTTGCCATGAAAGGGCTCCATAAGTGTGTTCAAACCAGTCAAACCATTGTATGGCATCCCCTTCAAGATGTATAGCTGCAATTTCCTCCATGGATGCATCCGCAGTTTTATGGTACCGAAAATATCGCTCCGCGCGCGAGATCCAACCAATTGGGTCTCCTTCTTCCCATCTAGGGAAGTCCACTCTCATGCGCGAATAGTTGGGGTCGGTCATAGAACCTCCCCTCTCTTGGAAGTCATCTCTTTGGGCATGATTTGATTGGTTAGAGCTTTCTCCTTGATGTGATTTCTTCGGGCTTGGTGGTCGGCCCAAACTGAATTCGGTAAGGAGAGTCCGAATCTTATCCTCCATTCGTGCCTCAAAGGCTTCAAATTTAGCATTGATTGCCTCCTCAGATGCCATAGTATATGACTCCAAATCTGTGATGTTAAGATCTCTCTTTTGTTGACGGGTTAAAGGCATGTATAGGTTTGATAGAAATCAGTGAAAGTTTGCTGCAGAATTGTGTTGTCTTGTAAGAGCAGAATTATCGTCGAAGAAACAGTGGTTTCTCGACGAAATCTCCACAAAAAATTTGAGAGATTTGAGGAGGAAAATAACAACAATATCTCAGTTTATATGACAGCAAGGATGTCCAATTTAATCAAGAAAATTTCGACAGTAACAGTAAGAAAATTGGTGTAAGTTGCGATAGCAGAATTCTCGTCGAAAAATTTCAGCAACTTACGATGAAATTTGCAGCAATATAGGAACGAAATTTTTTTTTTTTTGGATTTTCGAATAGGGATAACTAAATTGCAGCAGCAGTAAGGTAGGAAACCAAAACCTGTTGCAATTCACAGGGAGATCAAAGGATGATCTGCGGTGGTGGAGATGACGGTGGAATTTGGCGACGATCTTTTAAGTAATTGTGGGAATTGCTTTGGGCGGTTGTGGAGGGTTGATGGATGGCAGTGGAAGGGCAGCGAGATGCCAAGAACGCTGCTCTGATACCAGGTGTTAGAACTCTTGCAGATTTTAAACTTGGGGTTGATCTCTTTAGGGGATCGGCCTCCTTGGAACTCTATAGAGGTTCCTCCCTCCAAGTTGCTGCTCAAAGGCTGCAGAAAATATTCATCTATTGCTTATGAAAAGAGGAGGAATACATGGCTATTTATAGGGCTTCTAAACCCTAACTCCTAATAGGACTCCTACTTAAAACTCTTACTTCTAACCAACTCCTAATATGACTCCTACTCAAGACTCCTATTCACTTACAACTCCTAATTCTTCTCTAAGAAAAAACCTCTTACATGAATATTCCTCTCAATTAGGACTCTCCTAGCTAGAGTCTTAACAGAATGTCTCTCTCAATTAGGACTCTCCTAGCTAGAGTCCTAACAGAATGTCCCTCTCAATTAGGACTCTCCTAGCTAGAGTCCTAACACAGTGACCCCGTCCCGATCGGACCATCGCACCGGACCGACCTCGCGGGCTCGAGGCACGCCCCGGAGAGATCCCCGACGTCCGGACCCGAACCGAGCCGCGTCGGCCCCGAGGCCACGGCTCTCAAAGTTGTTTCCCACAACAATTTCCATATTGCTAGTTATTTTTGTTGAATCCGGATTTTGATGATAAAATCAATCAATGAGTTCATAGGATTAATATATTTTTGAAATAAGTGACGCAGAAAATATTTCGATCACGGACTTTGATCACTGAAGGGCCAACTATCAAGCAAGAGAGTCGGACTTTACGCTGAAAAATTATCATGACGAAAATTAGACGTCGAGCCGAAAGATTAGCCGACGTGCTAGAGATCGAACTTTATGCTATAAATTCAAACATCATACCGGAAGAATCAGATATTGCGTCAGAAGATTGGATGCCATGGGAAAGTCAACATGTCGATAGAATGGGCGATATACCTAAGAAAAGAGCGATGTGTCGGAGGTTCAGACAAATTACCGAAAAATCGAATGACATGCCAAAAGAGCGTACAACGTGCCAAAAGCTTCGTAAATGTTCTATATATGTGGTTGATTTGTTAAAATCTTGATCGAGGTCATTTTAGGTCAATTTGAGTTGGTATTGAGCAAAAACAATGCCAACTTGTCAAGAAAGCCATTGGTCTTAAAGTCGGGCCGAATTAGGCCTGTTAAAAGGCCAAACTGGTGGCCTAAAGCAGGCCTGAGTGGTGATACCGCCAGGCCTAAGCGATAGTACCGCTTAAGTCAACTGACAAGCACAAGGCTTTCCGACGGTGGTACCACCTATGGCGACGATAGTAGCGCTTGGGGGGCAATAGTACCACCAAAAATTCAAATTTTGTAGTGATAGTATAGCCAAAGACCAAAAGTTGCGAGTGTTAGTAGTAACACCGCCCGTACCTCGAAATTTTGGGGAATTGAACTTTTTATCTTTATTTTTAAAGCCTTTTGAAGCTTATAAATATCCTACTCAGGCTTGGATGATGAAGCATCTATTCTTGAGTTTGTGAAATGTAATAGCTCTCTCTTTAAGCATTGTTTTGAGTCTCTTCCTCTCTCTTGAGTTTAGTTGTGATACTAAGTTGAAAGAGGTAAGAAATCTCTTGTAAAAGAGTGAGTGTGGAGGTTCTCTCCTAGGACTGTAAAGAGGAGAAAAGCTGTAACAAGGATAGTTGATCTTCGTCCATTAGAAAGAAGATCGGTAATAAAAATCGATGGCCTTGAGAGACAAGGAATCAGGAGCGGGCGTAGGTCGGGAAGACTGAACCACTATAAATCGGTTTGTATTCCTTCTTTTGCTCGTGACTTTTGTTTGTGATTGCTTATTATTATTCACTTTACTCGAAAACCTTCCTCGTATTCAGTATTTGGTTAATCGTGTTTTCGATACGGATTTTACAATCAAACTTTAAAGTCGATTAAAAAATTTCTATAACACTAATCACCCCCCTTCTTAGCGCCATTAAGATCCTAACAATTTTGACAACTTTGCTCTAAGCTTTATTCCTGCAATCACATGTGATTTTAAAATGAATAAAATAAATTAATAGAAAAATAAGAAAATTTAGACAGAATTTGATTGTTTGACATCATTCCTTATGTCATTCAATTAATTGGGTTTATAGGATGACATTTAGCTAGTTCATATGGACATTATCAACTAACTAAATTGTATAACAAACATCGCAAAATATGTATCATAAACTTAACTATCAAAATAACAAACCCTATGAAACATATTCATATATCATGTTAACAATAGATAAGTCAATAAAAATTGCCTCAATCTTTTACATGAACCTACTACCACAATTGTTGCACCTTTAACATGCTAAGCAAACAAGCCTCGGTGCTACAGAAGGCTTTCTCTTTGCAAAAACAATATTGGTTGACCTGGTTCAAATTTTACCGATAGATGGCACTTCTCATGTTGGATCCCACCAAGAACTGATGAAGATTTAGTGGAAACCAATGGGACTCCGCCAATTAAAAGCTAAGATTGGGATCAAATAGAAGGATTCCAAATCAAATGAAACCAAACCAACAGATTTATTTGAGATTATCGATTCCCTCACCCATGACTTCCCTAATCCTACTTCTCGGTCATGTCTACTTTCAAGACAACACTCTTGTGGGAATAAAAGGGAGAATATCCATCCATTTACACATAAGTTATATGCCTACCGGCAAAGATGAAACCAACAGGCATGCGTCCACCTCTTTAGAATGGGTCCAGTGTTCATATTTTCAAACAGTGATAAACTGGCAAAAAACAAGCTTCAGTTCTTCGCAGATGCTTCTGCATAAGGTCTTTTCCTATATTCGTGTTATCATGGATTTGATCGCTTGTTATAGCATGAGACGCGTAAGTCATCTTGAAATCTGTTTTATTAGATAAAATTTCACAAATTGTTTTAAATTGTTATAATTGACTCAATCATATTAAACTCTGAATCATTCAATCAGGTCAGGGTGAGTGACATGAGGTTTTATCAATCCAAATATTGCTAGAGCAAGTTAAATCAAATTATTCTAGGTTTGGTTCAACAAACAAAATTGATAACTTCACCCAATAAAAAAGAGGTGAGGTATCAAAGTTCACCCAAGAAAACAGAGGATAAGGCATATTTGGTATTCTTCCCACAATAAAAAAAAGGCAAAGAAACAATATATGCCACTCCATCAAGGGGTTTTAAAATTTACCTAAAATGATTCATGTTGCTTTATCAGTTGAAGACTTCATTGTTCAAGGCCCAAAGTCTTACAACATACACCACACCAGATTTCAGAAAAATGCAATATTCATTCAGTTGAATAAGGTCAGCATGTTCTACCAACAATCAACTACACCTACATGTAATTATCATACACCCTAACCCAAATGAAACGTCCTTTGAGGAAGGTGAGATTGCATAAAATCCAACAGCAAAAAAGGTCAAAAAAAAAAATCTATAAACAACAAATAAAAGAGCTATATTCTTCCAAACATAATTACTTTTCAATTAAGATGAAAAGGTCGAACTTTTAGCTACAAACTAAGCCCTCCTCTTCATATGGTACTAAAGGGGGAATTACAAGAATCAAAGCTTCTCATCGCAACCATTGTCGACTGGATTACATAATACAATGCCAAAATGATTTTAATTTGCATATTATTGATAAAGAGGTACCCAAACAGAAAATATTCATCATGTTCAAAATAAATAATTCCCTTACAGAGGTATCTATTATCCCCAATATTAAGCTCGAGATCAATTGTAATCAAAACATCCGGAAGCAGAAACAGTAGGACATACCTAAATCAGCCAGTGAGCAAAAGATTAAAGGCCAGTGTCAGAGATCATCCAGATCCTTCGCCCTTCCCTTTGTTCGAACCACTTCCATCACCATCACCACCTTTTTGTCCTTCGTCAGTGTTCCCAAGCTCAGCTACAGCATCGGCAACTAGGGCCAGAGGCCGGTGCACGATGACCTCATCGACCAGTCCGAACTCCTTGGCCTCCTCAGGGGACATGAACATATCACGCTCCATGCACTGCTCGATCCGCTGAATGGGCTGGCCCGTGTGGTGGGCGTAGATGGCGTTGAGGCGCTCACGGACTTTGAGAATCTCCTTGGCGTGGATGGCGATGTCGGTGGCCTGACCGGAGGCGCCGCCGGAGGGCTGGTGGATCATGACGCGGGAGTGCGGGAGGGCGCGGCGCTCACCAGGGGCTCCGGCAGCGAGGAGGAGGGATCCCATTGAGGCGGCCTGGCCGAGGCAGAGGGTGGAGACCGGGGAGCTGATGTACTGCATCGTGTCGTAGATGGCAAGGCCAGCGGTAACGGCGCCGCCGGGGGAGTTGATGTAGAGATGGACGGGCTTGGAGGGGTTCTCGGACTCGAGAAAGAGGAGCTGGGCGACTACGACGGAAGCGGTGTCGTCGGAGATGACGCCGTTGATACACACGATGCGCTCCTTCAGGAGACGGGAGAAGATGTCGTACGCGCGTTCGCCACGGGAGGAGTGCTCAATTACCATGGGAATAAGCCCGTATTTGCGGGTAGCGGGTTCGGGGACGGCAGCGAGGCGGGAGGAGGGGAGGAGGCCCCCGGAGAGGGCCAGGCGGCGCCACCACATATTCGAGCGGCGGAGAGGTGCTGACGATGAGCGTTTAGGGTTTTAGCGACAAAGAGCCTTCTAAATGACTGGAGTTGTTTACAAATCTATCCTTCCAAAGTTCGTTCCTCCTAAATTTTTGTACTTGCGTTACATAGAACGCGATATCTAAATCTTTCATAATTGGTCTGCGTAAATCTGACTTGCATATATATCCCTCTAAATCTTTAAATCTTTTATATATAATTTTCATTTTTACGGATCTAATAAGCTAAGATTAAATATATTATATTTTAATACATCCCATTATATATATATATATATATATTCTTCCCATTACAATAAATCCAAGAAAATACTTACTTTGATCATTATCAATCATACTTATCAATGGTTATTCATTTAAGATTTAAAATTATTAGAAATATAAAATAGCTAAAGTTCTTTTAAAATCCTTACCATCATAACATAATTTAATAATATTAATTATCAATTTCAATTTGAACCATAGCTATTAGTTATTAGTTTGAATTTAAAAAATATCAAAATATGAAATACCTAAAGAAAATGCTCTTAAATATCTTTCCATCACAAGATTTCTCTTAAAATATATTAATAATATTTTAAATTTAAGACCAATATTGATTGTAAACTCACATACATATTTTTTAAATTTCATAGAAATAATATATATATATATATATATATATATATATGTTTAAATTTAAATGTAAGAGAAAATAACAAAAGAATGATGAATTTTTGGAAAAAGTTGTTTATTAACTTACAGTATATAAATTAACTCTAAAGTTTATAGACAACTTAATAGAACTCCTACTCAAGACTTCTACTTCTAACCAAGTCCTAATGTTTCTCTAAGAAACAACCTCTAAACTAATCATAACCTTAGCCGACCTCTTCACCTCTTTAATAGAGGTCGGCTAGGTAGGTTTTATGTGAATACCTCTTTTAATTAAACTCAATTAGGACTCTCCTAGTTATAGTCCTAACAGACCCACTATTTTCAAATCAGCATTGTCCTTGAGACTGATGATCCATGAATTATGAGAATTGGATCTTCAAGTCGTCATAGTTCTCCCAAGTGGCATCTTCTGCTGGTAGGTTCACCCACCATATTAGCACTTTAGTAGTGTGTCGTCGTCGAGTCATGATCCGTCGATCAATAACAGCACTCGGTTGGATCTGAAGTTCTCCTTGGGTAGTCATATTTGGTAGATGGCTTTGGGTTGTCTCGTTTTGTTCTAGCTTGAGTTTTAAACACAACACATGGAAGATTGGATGGATTCGGGAGCTGGCGGGTAAGTCCAATCTGTATGCTATCGCTCCGATGCACTCCAAAATTTGGTAGGGTCCATAGAACCGATGTGAAATCTTTATAGATACTTTGGTCTAGATTGATGTTTGCTTGTATGGTTAGAGCCATAGGAAGACCCAATCTACTACTGAAAATTCTCTTTCGCCTTTGTGTTGATCATATTGTTGTTTCATCCTTGCTTGAGCTGTAGTGAGATTATTTTTTAGCAACTTCAACATTTTGTCTTTGTCCTGTAGTTCCCTGTCTACTTGTTCTACTTTAGAGGTGCCCAACATATATTTTGGGATCATAGGGGGAGGTCGGCCATACATAGCCTCATAGGGAGTACATTTTGTGAATGAATGATAAGTTGTATTATACCACCACTTGGCTAGGGAAGCCACTTTGTCCACTCTTTTGGTCGGTACTGGTGAAGCATCTGAGGTATGTCTCCAAGCACCTGTTCACCACTTCAGTCTAACCGTCGGTTTGTGGGTGATATATTGTACTCATTTTCAATTTAGTACCCTACATCTAGAATAACTCTATCCAAAATCTGCTTGTGAAGACCCTATCACGATCACTTATAATAGATCTCGGCATCTTATGAAATTTTACAATATTCTCCATAAAGATTCGAGCAATACTAAAAGTAGTGTAGGCACTAAATTGATGCTCGGGGGAAGATATCTTCTGGGTTGATATCCAAGAAGCTTTGTGATGGGGGAAGTAGTGTAGGCACTAAAGTGCTGCTCGGGGGAAGATATCCCATGTAATTTTCCATGTGATGAGGGAAGCCCTTCGATGAAGTCCATTGATATATCAGTTCATATTGAGTCCAAGATAGGTAGAGGTTGTAGCTTTCCGGGACTTGCCATTGTCTCACCTTTATGTCGTTGACATACATCACATTTTGCCATAAATTTAGCAATAATATTTTTCATCTCTACCCAATAAAAATTTTGCTTAATTATCTTATAGGCTCTAAGGAACTCGGAGTGCCCGGTCGCAGGTGTGGATTGCATCTTTTGAAGGATGGTCTTTATGCAAGTAGAATTTGGCACAAGCACAATGAGTCCCTTATAACACAATTATTTTGAGTCCCAACTGTAATGAGCCACAAAGCTTGGCACTTCCTCTAATTTTTTTATGATCTTACTGGTTTTTGGATCTTCTTGTCATTCCCTCTTAATATCCTCAAGGAAGTCGCTGGTCGGAAGTGAAATAGCTGAAAATTCAGCTTGCTCGGGTAGCCGCGAAAGCGCATCTGCAACAACATTCTCTTTCATCTTTTTGTAAGTTATTTCATAATCATATCCAAGAAGTTTTGTTACCTATTTTTGCTGCTTAGGGGAAGATATCTTTTGCTCCAAGAAATATTTTAGGCTTTTATAGTAGATCTTGATTCGAAAGCGTCGCCCGATCAAGTACGGTCTCCATTTAGTCACCGCATAAACAATCACGAGCATCTCCTTATCGTAAATAGTCATCTTGAGATGGGAAGGGGATAATGCCTTATTGGTATAAGCGAGGGGGCGGCCATCTTGAATTAGTACGGCACCAATTTCGACTCCAGAGGCATCGACTTCAATAACAAAAGTCTTACTAAAGTCGGGTAGTGCTAGTACAGGTGTTATAGTCATTGCGGCTTTAAGTTCGTCGAAGGCGGTGGTGGCTTTGTTTGACCATTGGAAAGCATCTTTTTTCAGCAAAGAAGTAAGGGGTGCACTGATCTTTCCATAGTTTTTCACGAACTTGCGGTAGTAGCCTATTAAACCGAGAAAGCCGCGTAGCGATTTTATGTTTCTTGGGGTCGGCCAGTTCTGCATTGCTTCATTTTTGGAGGGGTCCACCGCCACACCTTCTTCTGATATGATATGCCCAAGATATTCCACCTTCTATTGAAGAAAGTTGCACTTCAGTTTTTTGACAAAAAGAAGACGTTCTCGCAAAATCGTCAAAACAAGTCGTAAGTGCTGAAAATGACTTTAAAGAGAAGGGCTGTAAATAAGGATATTGTCAAAGAAAACTAGCAGAAAGTTACTAAGATAATTCTAGAAAATATCATTCATAAGGCTCTAGAAGGTGGAGGAAGCATTGGTTTGACCAAAGGGCATTACCAAAAATTTGTAGTGGTCGTTGTGTGTTTGAAAGGTAGTTTTCGGTATGTCTTCTTCGCACACTCGTATTTGATGATACCCGGATCAAAGGTCCAGCTTTGTGAAGACTCGTGCTCCCTTTAATTCATCAAGTAATTCATCTACTACTTGAATAGGGTATTTGTCCTTGACGGTTATATTGTTGAGAGCTCGGTAATCAACGCACATTCACCATGTTCCATCCTTCTTTTGTACGAGGAGTACCGGTGAAGAGTAGGGGTTGTAACTTGGCCGAATAACTTTTGTTTCAAGTATCTCTTTTATAATCATTTCTATTTCATCCTTCTAGAGATGTAGATACTGATATGGCCGAGTATTTGCTAGAGGTTTGCTCGGAAGAATCGGTATTTAATGATTATGCCGATGGGTAGGAGGTAGGTTGCGCGGTTTATCAAATATATATGAAAATTTAGCAAGCAAATGAAGTGTTAAGAACAGAGTCGGCACTAAGAGGGGGGGTGAATTAGTGTAGCGGTAAAATAACGTTGGTTTAATACTTCGTTTCGATTAAATTCGTTTTCGATGAAAAATCATTTCGTAAAGATAATAACTTTGAAAGCGTACGTAAGAGAGTAGTGGATGTAAAGAGCAAGTAAGAAGGTTTACAGTTAAAGTAAATTGCTCAAAGAAATGCAAACCAGATTTTAGAGTGGTTCGATTGTTGTGACCTACATCCACATAGTCGATTCCTCTTCCGTCGAGGTCACCGACATCCACTATCGATCTTCCTTTAATATGCGAAGATCAACCTCCTTCTTACACCCCTCTTATTCTTTTACCGAGTTTCGGAAACAACCCTTACAAGCACTCACTCCTCCTAAACATAATTCTAAACTTAGACTTAGAGGAGGGGATTTCTCAAGTAATTGCAACATCATTTCTTCACTTTTAAACTCTAGTTGATTCAAACTTGGAACCTAAAAACATCTCATCCCGGGTTTCCTAGGTCCAAGCGGTACCACCACCTGTGCTGGGTGGTACCACCACTAGTGTCAGTCTGGCGATACCACTGCCTGGCTCCTTGCCATTGGGCGGTACCACCGCCTGGCACCCTGCTAAGGGCGGTTCCACTGCCCAGACTAGCGGTACCACCAACTGACACAGTCTAAAAGATTATGCCACGACGGTGCTACTTCTTGGGTCATTGTTTGGACCTTTCATTGGGCCCAACACAGTCCTTACATGGGTCCAATTGGCCCATAATTGGGTTGGCCCAAATCCAATCCCAATTACGTGATAACTACAAAATCTAAGGCATACTTAAGTTAAACAAATCCCTAGGTCTTGGTTTCTTCCAACGAGCTTCCGATGATCTTCCGGCGAACTTCCGACGATCTCTCGACAATGTTCTAGCGGACTCCCGACAAGCTCCTGGACTTCACGACGATCTTCTTGGCGAGTTCCGATGAGCTTCTTTGGCAAGCTCCGAGACTTCTCGACTGGTTCCTATAAAACTTCCGACGAATGTCTGGACTTCCGACGAACTCTCGAACTCCCAACGAAATCATGTCCTTGACTCTGGGACTTCAGTTTGCTTCATGCCTTGCTATCGTAGTTAATCCTGCACATGTAAAACACATTTTGATCTAGACAATTAATACTAAGTATGAATCATGTTGTCCGGCATGTCATTGGTCCCTC